TCTGTGGTCAATCGTTTTCTCAGAAAACAAACTTAACAAAACATACAAGGACACACACCGGCGAAAAGCCTCACATATGTCTAATCTGTGATAAGGGGTATTCTACATCATTAGATTTAACAAGGCATACAAGAACACATACGGGAGAAAAACCATATAAATGTGATGTGTGTGATCACGCTTTTTCTCAGGCACATAGCTTAAACTCCCATAAAAGAACACATATCAGTATTGAGCCGTATAAATATGTTATCTGTGATTTAGCATCAAATTAAAAAAAATCGATTGAGGATACATATTAGAAAAAGTCTTTAAAAATACAACGTGTTCAAGACACAGATACATTATAATATTGTAACTGTACAAATTATTTTATAATTTATATAACAATATTATCTTTATTATCAATATTATATAATATTAGAACACTAATAAACATAAGATGTATTGATTGCATATTGGTAATGCTGTAAACGCTTCTAAGGTGCATGCCAACACATTTGAAACAATATTGTATGCCTCTTTTCCTGTGTTAATTCTCACTCCAAGTACGCACTTTATTCAAAGTTAATGTCTGTTCACCCACCAGTTATGTTAAGTCATCATCAACAAGAACAGTCAGAACAAAACAATCTAAGGCCAGCCTATATAGCTTCTTTAAGTTAGCATCAAGCATTGATTATGCCTTGAATACAAACACAAGTAGTTTATAAGCAACAAATGCACTGACTTCCATTGTTAGTTATGCTGGTCAGTTATTCGACAAATTCAATCACAGCAAAACCAGCTAATTGAGCAGCAAGCAATGCAAATTGTATGTTCCATATTGAATAGTTTTTTTTATTATTTAATTTACTCATCCTTATTTTCTTATATTTTAGAAAAGTTTAGAAAATATTGAACATACACTGTCTGTTACACCACTATCTAATGATGTTATTCAACATATGCAGGCATTTATGGCTGCATTCAGTTATTCAAGTAAATGTTTAAATAATTTTAAATAGATTCAAAATCAACTAACAACATATTTTTTTCAGTATATTCAAACGTATAATGGCCAAATATACATACCATTCATAAATGCAATCCAAGCATTCCAATTTTGGTCAATTAACCCAATTAAACCTGGCAGTCCAACTCTGGGTTGATCGGTACAACATTTTTGATAACCAAATAGGACAACATCAGTAACCATCTAGCCAACCAGGTCAAGTCATGATTGTGCAATACCAACACTACTATCAGGTGCCAAAATCCAACAGCCTGGTCACAGGCTATTAATTTACAACAAACACAGTCTGGTCAATGTTGATCCCAGTAAACAGACACCAGGAAAACCTGCTCAGATAAGAATGATGATGCCTGTTGAAGTACACAGATATATTCTGAAGTTAAAGGTAAATAATAATAAGATTGGATATATATTATAATATAATAATAAGTATAATGATACAATGTACAATAGTGTTACGAGGCGTAATATAAATCAACGACTAACTATGTATACCCGGCTACACTACACAAGACATATATGCTGTAGTATTATAAAGATGTATAGTCAGCGTCTGCTGAACTACAGTGTGAATATATAACTTATGCACTACATTATATAGGGTGTTTTGTTTATAATTCCAACACTTTCCCTTAAACAATATACCCTTATACATCAATATTTATAACTCCTAACATCTCCCTTAGCTCATTGAACCGTATTCGTGGAGTTGGCTTTGTCATAATGTCCGCAATCTGCTCCTTGCTGGATATGTACTCCAATGAAAACAATCCCTCATTGAACTTTTCTCTTATATTGTGGTAGCGAACCTCTATATGCGTTGTTCTTCTATGAAACTCTTTATCCTTTACGAGTTTTATCGCACTTTGATTGTCTCCATACATTGTTGGCACCATTTTTGACTGGTCCAGCAATTCACCTAAAAACAATTTTAACCAAGTTAATTCTTGACTTAAAGCTATGTAATCTGATTCAGTTGTGCTAAGACTAACACACTGTTGACGACGTGAACTCCATGCTATACTTCCAGATCCTAATGTAAATACTGACCCTGTTGTTGACCTTCTTGTATCCAAGTCACCTGCATAGTCAGCATCACTGTATCCCTTTAACATGAGTTTTTGTCTATAACTAAATATCAATCCAAAATTAATAGATCCCTTTAAATATTTTAAAATTTGTTTCACTGCTGTTCAGTGTGACAGTGTTGTTCCTTTAGATCCTCGATGTATCTACTAACTAGATTTACTAAAAAAGTTATGTCTGGTCTTGTAATCTGACTGAGTTATAATAAGCTTCCGACTGCTTCACAATATGGGACTTTACTAGTTAGATTATTATTTTGTTGCTTGTCATCTAATGAATGTTGAGGGTCTGCTGGTATTTGAACTGGATTTGCTTCAGTCATATTGAACTTCTCCAATATCCTTTTACAATACAACCCTTGGTGCATTACAATTGATCCATCAGATTTTTGCTTAATTTCTGTACATAAAAATTGATTCAATTCTCCTTCGGTAATATTGAAATGTTGTCTCAAACATTCAATTAATGCGTTTACATCCTGACTCGATGTAGCTGCAACTAGACCATCATCAACAAATATAGCGACAATTAATACTCTGTTATTTTCTCTTTTAACAAAAACACAGGGATCTGCTTTTGTTTCTAATAGATTAAAGTTAAGAAGAAATGTTTTGAATTTTATGTTCCAACATCGTGGTGACTGCTTTAGACCATAAAAACTGCGTTGAAGTCTGCACACCATTTCAGTACCATCGTTGAACCCTTCTGGTTGTCTCATGTAAATTTCTTCGTCTAAATCTCCATATAAAAATGCTGTTTGAACGTCAAATTGTCAAAGTCGTAATTGTTCTGCTGCTGATATAGCTAATATAGATCGAATTGAATCAAACTTTACTACAGGACTAAAAGTTTCATTAAAATCAATACCGAATAATTTGACTATACCCTTTTGCTATTAGCCTAGCCTTATATCTATCAACATGTCCATGAACATCGTATTTTGTTTTATACACCCAACCACAATTTACAATAGTTCTGTCCTTAGGTAACTTTACGAGAGACCATGTTCCGTTTTGTTCAAGAGATTCCATTTCATTGTTCATGGCTTCCATCCATTTTTCTGAATTTTGTGACTCCACAGCTTCCTTGAAATTTACTGGGTCGGATTCGACTACGAAAAAGACTGAATTATCATAACGTAATGGTTTCTTAATATTACTTCTGTCTCGCAAATTGTACACATTGACATTTGACCCATTTCCTTGATTTTCATTGTCATCTTCACTTATTGATCCAAATTCATTTTCCATGACTTCATCTCCTTCTGATTTATTGCTGTGTTGCAATGAGCCGTCCTTGTGTAAGCTAAGAACATCAACGTTATTACTATCATTTGAATTATTAGAACATTTTACAAGTTGGTCATTTACAACATTTTCATCCTTGAAAATGACGTCTCTACTAAGTAACAACTCATTATTTTCTTTATACCAAATACGATTCTCTTTTGAAGTTTCTGATTATCCAACAATGTATCCTTTTCAGCTTTTTGCATCCCACTTCTTTCGTTGTTGTTTTGGAACTAAACTATATGCATTTTTTCCAAATTCTACGAACTTTTCTATTTTAGGAAGTTTATCAAACCATAACTCGTATGGAGTTTTACATACTTTCCCTGAATTACGAACTAAATACACTCGTAATTACCAGTATAATTTAATGAGAACGCTACTGTATTGACTGCTTTTGCCCACAGTGATTTTGGAAAATTCTTGGCATATATCATTGTTCTGGCTGCCTCACAAATAGTCCTTATTGAACGTTCAGCTCTTCCATTTTGTTCAGGAGTATAAGGTACACTTGTTTCATGCTTTATACCAAGATGATTTTGAATTGATTGAACTTCTGAATTCTTATACTCTAATCCACGGTCGCTTCTAATAGTTTTAATAACGTTTTTTGTTGGAGTTTTAACCATGCTCAGAAAACAATTAAGTTTTTCCTTAACCTCAGATTTATGTTTCATAAAATAGACATAAGTATATTTAGAATAATCATCTTTAAAGATAATGAAATATCTTTTACCTCCTAATGAATTCTCTTCCATGGGTCCACATACGTTGCTGTGTATTATTTGCACTGGCTGAGTAGTTATTGTTTCGCTCTGAGTGAACGTCTCTTTATGCTGTTTGCCATAGATGCATGGTTCACAGAATAACTGTCCTTGTATATCTGTAAATTGTATTTCATTGTGTTTTAAATACTCACGAACATGTTTGACATTCTGATGACATAGTATTTTGTGCCAGTGTTCTAATGTTAATTTCTTAATTGCAACGTTAGTACATTGTCCAATTTCCTGTGAAATATCTGGTTTGATTAGCATTGTAAACAATTTATTCTCACGAACACCGACTGCAATTACACGATTATTAATTTTAAATGTACAACCTTTACGCATATCCCACAAGAAAATAAATTTACCTTTAGATCAGGTACATATAAAACATTTTCTAAGTATCCTTTTATCCAATTATTGTCAACATAAGTATGAATATTTATGTTACCTTTTCCGACTGCCATAATGTGCTTACCATCTCCAATACGTACAGGCGAATGCACATCAAAATGTTTATAATTGACGAACCACTCTTTTCGATTTGTCATGTGGTCGCTCGCACCTGAGTCCACGTACCATTTGTCTGAGTCGTCGATTTCTTAAATTTTTCTTTGTACACCAATAAGCGCCAAACCGGAAGTTGATTTCTTTTCTTCTTGTTCCTTTTTGAATATCCTGCAGTCCCTTTTCCAGTGTTCTATTTTTTTACAGTGATTGCATTTTCCTGGTTTTGTATTATCATTTTTGTTCACGTATTTTTGACTTATTATACTTGCCTTTGTTTGCAGTCAAAACACTACTTTCAGCACCATCGTCACGGACCTCCTGCCCTTCAACTTGTCATGTTTCTTCCACCATCAATCGAGGGGTTAACTGTTCTAGCGTTCTATTTGCACTATTCATTGAGTCCCATGCACTGTAGAAGTTCCTATAGCTATCAGGTAATGTCATAAAAATGTTTGTAATTAACATTGATTCTGAGATAGGTTCTCCCAATTGTTTTAGTTGTCTACTTAGATTTTCTAATTTTGAAATATGACCTGCTATATTGTCTTTTTGATCCATTGTATAACGATAGAACTTTTGTTGTACTGTTGTTATACTTGTGTCTGATTTCTGTTCGTACACATTAAGTAATTTGTTCCACATACCATTTGTCGTGTCACAGTTCATAATGTATTGTAGAGGTTGTTCATCTAATGATGTGACGATACATTTTTGAGCCTTATTATCTGCCCTTTTCCATATTAAATAATCACCTTTTTCTCATTTCATCTTCAGTTTCATTACCGATTTTTGCTAAAATTGGTTTCTTTGATTTTCCTGTTACTACATAAAATATTTCAGCTGCATTCGTGATTACTTTAATTTGAAATGTCCACATGTCCCAATTTGATGCATCTTTGAGTTTGTTGATTTTATATTGTTCGTTTTCCATATTTAAAAAAATCATAAATGTACACTATCTGCACAATAAGAAACGCACGCACACTACACTGCACTTTGCAAATTATTATTGCTGTACACTATCTGTACACTATCTGTACACAAAACACGCAATTTGTTAATCAATTATTATTTTACTAACTATTTACAACTTTATTATAAAGACCTTACTACTGGGCCCATAACCTGTTGAAGTACACAGATATACAGAAGTTAAAGGTAAATAATAATAAGATCGGGTATATATAATATAATAATAAGTATAATGATAGTGTTACGAGGCGTAATATAAATCAACGACTAACTATGTATACCCGGCTACACTACACAAGACATAATATATGCTGTAGTATTATAAAAATGTATAGTCAGCGTCTGCTGACCTACAGTGTGAATATATAACTTATACACTACATTATATAGGGTGTTTTGTTTATAATTCCAACAATGCCTCAACTAAATCAGTTCCAAAATCTTCAATCATAAATCATACCCACCAGGCCATTTACAGTCACAAGTTTGTTAGGTATCTACACAACTGTCGTGACTCTCACAGCATATCTTAAGTATATATCATGGTATGTTTTTGGATTGTGAGCGGACCAAGATATCTTTAGATTCAGGATGAATGTATTGATTTTACAATGTGATTAAGTGCTTCTGTTTTAGCACTGAAAGTTTTAAATTGTGACCTATAAGTACTAGTTATATTCAATTCACTACAAGAACTGCCTTCTAAGTTGAATATTGAAGCATTTTTTTACTCTAAATTGTGTACACAAAAAACAAACAGGTACATCATTGTAAAATCAATACATTCATTGCTCAGAATCTAAAAACATTAACACATTTTATGTTTCGATTTGTTAACTGTAATTTTTCCCGTAGAATGATGAAAATGAGTCCATGCATGCAGTGTTGCTGTTACTAACAGATGTGTTCGACGTAGAGGAACAACCTCAATTAATTCGGGAACAATTTGTCATGTGAAACAACATATTATTAGTATTATTAGCTTTATTTAGTCATGTAGTTAACAGGCGGTTCAAAAAGTATGTGACTACTGTTGAAATTAGTTTCCCTATTAACTTATAATCATTATTATTATATTCGTATACACTTAAATATACTATGTATGTACAGTTTTCAACATATTATTATGTAAGTGATTTTCAACTAGACGAAAATAAGCTAATGTACAATTAATTACTAATTAATCTTTAAATGTAATAAAGTGTATAAAAATGTACACAGTATCACGGAATGGTTATGATCTATATATTATTTTTAGTTAACCTCAGTCATAACAACTTTGTGATGGGGAAAAAAATGTATAATTGTTAAACAGTTTTCGGAAAATATATTTCAAATGTATATAGAATAAAATTCTTTATTTTTTATTTTTAGTAATAAAATAATAATTACATATAATATTACCCTATTATAAATCATAATTATTATGATAAAATACAAAAGCCATAATAGTGGAAGCTGACAAGGAAAATCTCATTCTAGCCTTGATAAGTTTTGTTGACTGTAAAATTATATGTTACAACAAAATGTGTAAATAAAAGTTTTGATATTATACAAAGGCTACAAAATATTTTTTTTAAGTTTATTTGATAATTGATATAATCATTAAATAAAAGGTGGGCAAGTGGGTGTCGCTCTGCTGTACAGTAGGTTACAAGTGGGTCACTGTATAATGTATGATATTAAATTTGAATTCAACGATATAATATCATTGTATAAGAAAAACGATTCTGAGCGGAGACGGTATGTCAGTCTATGTAAAAGACATATTATATACATATCTATGGTATTAAACAAAAAATTGACCTATAATGGGTACCTATAATAAATTCCAAATTAATCATATCAAAATATCCATTAGGTACTTATAACGCGTTATACATCAACAAAAACCGTGATACTATCATAGATATATAATAGTACACTTTAGAAGTTTCAAGTATCCACGAATAATATTATTCAATCACAACAAAATAACTAAAATAGTTATTCTAGGTTTTTTAATATGTAATTTCGTCCAAATTTGAATTTAAAATGTCTGTAAAAAATAAGTGTGTTCATATATTTTTTAGATTTTTTGGTTACAGTATGAACTATTTACGAGAACCTTTGTGTTGAATTTGCAATCCTTAGCAGTGGCGCAACTAGGGTTCATATCTTGGGGGTGCTACCATAATGAATCGTTCACAGAGCCGTGGGGGGCTTCGCCCCCCACACCCCCAGCATAATATATTACTATTATTTACATTATACTACTGTTTGCAACCATAGGTACCGTTAATAGAAAATAAATTTAACACATTTTATTTTTTTTATCATATTATTATATTTTAAAGTGTCAAACATAGTTTTCTGTCAATACTTGCAAATGTATTTAATATTTTTTCAGGTTCAATATCATTAGCTAGATCTCTCTCAATATTTATGATACTTAAATTAGTAAAGCGCTGCTGTAACATGCTGCTCCGCAGCCAATTTTTCAATCTCCTCATAGAAGAAAAACTTCGTTCACATGTCGCAGAACTGACAGGTACGGTTAATGCAACCTGCATTAGTTTGTACAAGTTTGGAAACACATCATTATTTAGTATTTTTTTTATGTCATCTGTACTATTTTTTAAACAATTTCTCGCTACAAGCATTTCTGCTTTTAAACACTCTGTATTTGAATTAATTATATCCTGAAATCATAGAATATTATTGAATATTATAGAATTTTTCTATAATAACTTAATAACTAATTGAATATGTACCTTATAATGATGAATAAAATGTTGACTATTTTCATAATCCATATTCATAAAACTATCAATAGCTTTGGCCATCTGAAGATTTTCGTTTGAAAACCTAAACTTTAAATTATTAATAATAGTATCAATAACTGGAAAATAAATAGTGCGCCTCCAATAGGCTTCGACTGATTCTGACACTTCTTGTTCTTCATAATTATTGCCTGTAGTTGTTTCCAAAATGAAATTTCTCAAATTATTTGGCTGAATTCTTTTTCGTTTTGATCCTTTAAAAAATATAAATACTTTTTAAAATGATTTGCTTTAAATGTTTACAATAACTATAAATTATAACAAAGAATCAAACATACCAGGATGAGAGACTTCCAATGATATATCATTTATTTCACAAAATTGTACAATTTTCAACCACAGTTTTGAGAATGAAGTATCACTTCTCATATCTTTAAATGATTCAATTACACTATTTATAATGACTTCTGCCTTCCCTAACGTGGCTGTTTTAGATTGTAGTGTTGTACTTAGTATGTTTATAACCCCCAAAACATCTCTTAAGACAATTACTAATGTTACAAATTGACATTTTGTTATTTGACTAATGATACCTAAAAATAAATTACAACATTATTGAGTACTCGATAAATTTGATTATTGATTATTTATTATATTACCAATAGCTTCAACTGCATCTTTGTCAGCTTCTTCTTCAATTTCATTTTTTAAAAAATTTAAAATTGCTGAATAATTGTTGATAATATGTTATGATTATATGTTACTATATTGTAGTATAAATTTAGTACCTTGGTTACATGAATCAGAATCTTCACGGTGACCACGAAATGAAACGCCTTGTTTTGCAAGATACAAAACTATTTCGATAATATTTAAAATATATTTGCGATTTTTCATTACTATTTCATTGTGAGCACTTATGACTTGAGATTTAACACTTCCAGTTTTTTTACTGGATTTAAAAGCTTCCATCTTTGATACATTTGTTAAATGAATTTTGGACAATTTGTGCTTATTTAATTTATCAGCAAACTGGATAGTATTGAAAATGTATAAGTTTAATGATTAATTTAAATACCTAAGTTACTATTTATATAATTATCATTATTTATTTATTATATAAACTTACTTTTTGCCAATTACTAAGTCCAGTCTTAGTCCATGCTGGTTCAACATCACCCGTACCAAATATGCGGCAAACATAACAAAAAGCAGCATCTAATGTAGTGCTATATTCTAACCATGCACATTCAACAAACCATTGTTTATTAAAACATCTATTTTGCTTCCCAAACTTTGTTTTTGGATAAGCCTAAAAGCATTTAAGCATATGCAAAGCATTAAGCAGTTAACTATAAGTGTTTTTAATTGCATACTAAAAAATAAGTTAATTATTTAAATTGTATGTTTCATAAATAGACAAAATAATAGGTACCTATAAGTTATAACATTTTTCGAAGCAATCATAATAATTAATAACTATATAAAATAAAACTAAGATAGTACTAAGTACTTACAGCCAAAATTGGGCGGTATGGTCCACTTTCTATATCTCCTAGTCCTAAATTCAAAATTTGAGGGGTACTGGTACATACATTTTCACACAAACTACTTGACGTGCTTGGACCTGGATCATCAATCGTTTCACTGTCTGAATGGTCGGACTTACTTTGAATAGTATTTTTTTTGTTACTATTACTAAAAATACTAAACATTATGAATAAACAAACACTTGCAATTTCAAATTTACAACAAACAATATCACATTATCACAATTCACAACTTTTAAATTTAAATCATAACGAGTAACGACGAGCCACAAATAATTAGTTATCACAGGTTGTTGAAAGCATGGCTAAATATATAGGTTAAACTGATAAATCGAAGTGATAAAAATCACTGCCAGTGGCGGCCATGACACCTGCGTATCACAAAGTTGCGATCATACCTATATATTTAGCCATGGTTGAAAGCACGGACTAAGATATACAGGACTGGACACGAGATGAATATTGTGGTTACGAAATGTTTTACAACAGGTGGAGTTCGGGGGGATATTTTCCTTTTAGCATTACTAGAGCCGTCTTAGTGGATACTTATGGAACTAGAAATTTGTATGATGTGTTCTAGTTCCATAAGTATCCACTAGGACGGCGCTAGTAATGCTAAAAGGAAAATATCCCCCCGAACACTGCCTGTTGTAAAACATTTCGTAGTCAACCCCCCCACACCCTCCAACCTTGTCGTGTCCAGTCCTGTATATCTTAGTCCGTGGTTGAAAGTTAGTACTTATCCAGTGATCTCAACATGACGATATTACCATAGAACAATATAGAAGCGACACTCGATCAGCTGATGGGTGAAGTGTTTACCTATGATCTGAAGTCCGAACATTCAAACTGTTTCCGTTTATCAACATGATGTTATACCCGTATTGAAAAACCGTTTCCGCTTAATAGGCAGGGTATTCTGCGCGGGGTCGGGTTGTTTCCAGCATAGAAAAATTGTTTCCACTGTTTACTGTAACGTATGCCACGCCCCTCTAGAGACCATTTTCAAGGCCACAATCGCCCGATCCGACCAATTCACGGAGTGTCGTACCCCTGATATTACGTTGCCTACTGGCTACTATTCACAATGATAGTAAAAACACAGATTATATGAAAACAGATTGTGCACTTAGATGTAAACAAAAAATGGCCTGATTCTGGTCTCCGCCAGAATCAATGTGACCATTTCAACAGATTGAAATTACTTGAAATGTATCATATACTTGTGGCTTACCTGATAGTGTTATCCGAGTATCCGACAAACAAAACATATTGTTATCAACACTCTGATACTTTATACCTGATAGTCTGATGTTTGGTTTTCACTTTTCACGTGTTTTTGGCGTTTGACGTTTTACGATTTTTGGTGTTTGCTTAAATAAAATAGTTTTTTTTTTGTAATATTTTATATTTATACTGTCATATTTATTTTAAAAAATGACTACTTGTGCAGTCAAGTTTTGCGACAATAAAATGTCACTAACGAAAAATATAAGCTACTTCAGATTTCCAAGCGACCCATTGAGGTGAGTAATTAGGTTTGTTTTATGATTTTCATTTGTATGCATTACAATTTGTTACGTTACTAATTTATTATAGGTGTAAACAATGGATGGAAAAATGTCAAACTGAACATTTACTGAAAAAAGATGCTACTATTTTATACAAAAATTACAGGGTGTGTGGTGTTCATTTTGAAGACAAAATGTTTTTAAATCCAAATAGTAGGAACCGTCTTACAATGAATGCTGTGCCAACCATATTTAGTGGTAAGATTTTGTTTATTATAATTAATATTTTTAAGACTAAATGAAACTATTCTAATTTGCTTTTGCTTTGCTTTTGCTGCGGCTACACGGCTGAGAGATGCATATTGATAGTTCAACCACCAAGATTCTTCTCAGGAAATGATCTATTGTTGTACTCCAGAGTCCTGAGGATATCCAATGAATTACAGATTTTGAATTAAGTTTATTTACATTAATTTAATTATTACCTATATATTATATTTCTTCTTTTAAAGTAAGATTTTTACTCTGTGAAATTTTTAAAATTTATTTAATAAAATTGTTTTATTCCATTATCAAAATATCAAATGTTATTAATTTTTTTCAATGCATATGCTTATGCCATGCAAATAAATTAACTACTTTAATATGAATTTATAAATATTATTAGCTGGAATATTAATGAAGAGAGAAATGGAAAAGAAATCAGAAGAAGAAAAGGAAAAGAAATTGGAAGAAGAAAAGCAAATGCGAGAATTTGAGGCACAGGTCGCGATGGCATCATGTTCTACTCCACCACACTCATTAACTTACAATGATAATGCATATACCAATGTCAGTGACGTATCTGGTTCCTCTTCCATTTCTAGTAAGCTACAAGTGTCTACTAGTGATTCATCTTGCCAAACTCCACTTTATCTCACTAACAAAACTCCAAGAAAATTAAAACTATATAATGAACTTCAGTCCAAAAATAAAGAAATTAAAGATATGAAAAAACAAATTAATGCCATAACTCAACAATTAGCAAATGTTAATACTGTTGAACAAATGTTAACTTTAACTAAGCAATTTTTACCTCCTGGTTTATTTTTAATTATAAGTACACATATTAATCGTAGAAATACAAAAGCAACTGGGTATAGGTATTCCAATGAATTTAAACAGTTAGCTCTAACAATTTATTTTTTGGGACCAAAGGTATATAGATTTTTGCAATCAACTCTTGCTCTGCCTAATCCATGTACACTAAGACGCATAACAAAACATTATGAAATAAATCCTGGTCTTAATGATTCATTATTTAATTTTTTACAATTTAAAACACAACATTTTTCACCTGAATCATTAGAATGTGTGTTGTGCGCAGATGAAATGGCAATAAAAAGTAATTTGTTTTATAACATAAGTAAGGATGAAATAATAGGGTTTAATGAAACAAACAATCGTAAAACGTATGATCCAGCAAAGTTTGTACTTGTCTTGTTGGTTCAAGGCATAAATTTCAATTGGAAGCAACCGATTGCTTATTTTTTTATATCAAACAGTTGTACAGGTTTTGATTTGCAGGACATAATTTTAACCAGTATTTTTAAACTAGAAAATATTAAAATTAATGTTAAAGCATTTGTTAGTGATATGGGTTCCAATTTCATAGGCCTCTCAAATAAACTTCAAGTTAGTCCTGAGCGGCCATATTTTGAAATTAATAATAAAAATATAGTGTATATATTTGATCCACCACATCTTTTAAAAGCCACCAGAAATATGTTTTATCAACATAATTTTAAGTATGATAATGAATTAATTGAAAAAAAACATTTGGTTTCATTCTATAATGAAGATAGTAAAAATAATCTTCGCGCTGCTCCTAAAATTACATACTCTCATATATTTCCTGGGCCTTTTGAAAAAATGCGCGTATATTTAGCAGCACAGGTGTTTAGTGAGAGTGTCTCAGCTGGAATGCTACTTTTCTTAAACTCAAGCCACTTACCTGATACTTCATTGCCTACAATCAACTTTATTCAAAATATGGATAAACTTTTTGACATATTTAATTCTTCTAGACGACCTGGCTTAAAACAATTTAATAGACCTTTTAAAAATACTGATTCGCAAATTTCACATTTAAAATTTATGGAAAACTTTTTTAAAACATTACAAGTATTTAACAAAAAAACAAATGTTGAAGTGACAAACCAAATGAAATTTATTAGAGGTTGGTTAATTTCAATCTCTGGTTTATTTCAATTGTGGGAATCATTAAAAGTTACCAATACTGATGAGAGTTATGTTCTGTATACAAGTCGAATCAATCAAGATAGGTTGGAAAATTTATTTGGCACGTTTCGTACCCAACATAACGGAAATAATATTAATCCAACCCCAATACAATTTATCTGGTCATATAAACAAAATTTTTGTCTCAATTATTTCACCCACTCTGACAATGCAAATTGCATAGGAGACTTGGATGAAATTTTATCTAAAATTAATACAGATCCCTTAAATGACGAAAACATAAAAATAATATTTCATGATAAAAATCCATTTCAATTTAAAAAAAATATACTTGCAATAGACACCCCAGATTATAGGAATTTATCGATGCCAGAAAAAAATGCTTTCATATATGTTTGTGGATTTCTAATGAAGAAATGCATTGAAAAACACTCTTGTGATATTTGTATTCAATATGCAAAATCACAAAACAAATTGGATGAGTCCTTTTTACTTTGCTATTTCAAAGCATATGAGAATGCAGAAAAAACAATGTTTGGCAACTTAATGATGCCACAACATGCATTTTATAATTATATTGATGAATTGGAAAACATATTTATAAATAGATTTCCACACATAGCTATTAACAAAGAAGTAGGTATTAAGTTAAAATTAAGCATGATTAATGTTGTATTTAGTCATCCATGTCCTCTTTTTAGTAAAGATTATTTAATTAATTATTTTATTAGATTTAGAATTCATGCTGCAATTAAATTTTTAAATAGGAATTTAATATCAGAAAAAATAAAAAAAAATAGAAAATTATGTATACTAAATCATTTATGAATAAATTAGAAAGTATTTAGTATTAATAAGTAATCTAGGTAATTGTATAAACATTTTGTACTCCATCAATTCTGTATGTTTATAATAAATGTATAATATGTATTTAATTTTAATTGTTAATATTATATTGTTTGAAATTGTGAAAAATTTAAATAAATATTTGTTTGTAAATAACAATTTGCATATTTTATTTCTATATTACTTTTACCTAAGTATAATATTTTGAGTATTGAGTTGAAATTGAAAAGTTTACTAAGCAAAATCAAATTTCTATAATATGGTATGTATGTATGTTCAATAATTTAGCATTGGTATTTGTGATCACACTGATTTGGGCGGAGACCAATCACAGCACCGTATTCATTTTTTACATTGCAGCATAGGAAGTGCACAATCTGTTTTCATATAATCTGTGGTAAAAATATACAATAATATAAATTATGTTATCTATGCAAGATAAGAAAAAATAACGGAAAATAAAATCTTAAAATATAAAATTACCTAAATTATCGTTTAAACTATAGATACTTGAAATTACAAAGACAAGAATTTGGGGGTGCTTAAATAAAAGTTGGGGGTGCTTAA